TAGCTAGTTTTTGGCAAGGTATTATTTGTTGCAGGTCATGCTTAAAGGTAGCGTTTTTAGTTTTTAACCTTATAAACAAGTAAAAACCATGACCTGTCCTTCTATCATTTTAATTTATAGCCGAATTGCTCAATTGCCTTCATTATCTTGTTCTAATAAGTTGCAGACTTTTTTCTGTAGACCTAGGCTACTTTTAATTACTACATTATCCTTGATTTTAAAGATTCCATTTCAGCCTATTTATTATGCAAGTTTAGCTGCTTATTACATATACATGCAATTCCCAGACAAGTGTTGGGGGAAAAAATGTATAGCTGTATTGATTAGGGCAAGGCTACCAGAGCATGCAGGCCTGCATCTGGAGCTAAACTCGCAGATGCATGAATATCTTTAAGAAGTAAATCTGACATTACACCACATTAAAGCCTCACTCACACTTGCTTTCAATTCTCTGTTTACAGCCACCACACTGAAACTTTTAACCATTTAAAACATTAAGTACTTGTTTTGATTTGTTGATTACCATAGTAACGGTACAAATATTTCTTCTCAGTGGAACCTATGAATAACTGTAGTGTAAAGGTTCATGTAGGCCTACGCTTAAGCCCTGTTCCTTGTTTGTCTACCTTGCCATGATATTCTCCAATGCCACAACTCGTTCCATTTATCCGGATAAATGTTCCACAATCAAATTAGAATTCCCCAGCAACTTCCTTGTTCCTCTTTATTGAATTACGGGGCTTGTGTAATTGACTGAAATTGCGAGATGGGGACTCAGAAGAAAGACAGAAAAAAACAAGAATTATTCCCCTACGCTAACTCTCCTGTGCAGCCAGAGGGAGGCACAAGATGAGTTGCTTTAATATTAGCCGCCACCGCTAGCCCACGTTTTGCGCTAACATTTTATCACGTCTACACCTCTCCGTAGATCATTGGAATGTGCATCTAAAGAATCGCAGGTGACATCTTCTCGTTGCCGATGAGGAATACGCGCGTCTCACTCAACTTCATATTATTTAAAGCCAGATGGGATCCTCTGTGCTATTGTTTGAGTCTGACAGTGCGTGATAGCCACGGAGATGCTAATGGCTAACGGTTAGCAGCCAGGGGCGATGGATGGGCCTCCTAAATGGCCAGTTGGAGAACATAAAAATAACTCTGGGCTAGATTTAGATGGATAGAGGAGAGGGTGGCGTTTTATTGGGGACATATTGGATTCTAGTGTTAGCAAGGTACACCTGGTTTTGCTTTTGATATTGTCTTTGATACAGATAGGCCTAGACCTAGATTCAAAACATAGGCTAGTCTGTGAAATAGGTTAATGTGAAATCAAAGGTCCTGTATTATGCAAAATTGACACTTGTGAGATTTTAGCCATGTTATAATTCTGTTACCTCTTCAAAAACATACCTGAAGTTGTGTTTCGTTTCATTCACACATATTTGAGTAAGAATTAATTATTGTTCTGTTTACATCTCCATTGTTCAAAATGCTCTGCTCCACCTTGTGTTCAACCTTTAGTTCAGTAGAGATGGGCAGGTCTACGGCTGAAATTACCCAAATATTACTAGTGCAGGTGTATGGAGTTTTAAAAACACAGTATTACCACATGACATTATAAGGTGGCAGAATATGCAGGTTTGTGTATTAAAGGTATGTGAATGAAACAAAACACAACTCCAGGGATATTTGGGATGAGGAAAATAAGAGAGATCAGGAAAAAGTGTAGTATGGGCATATGACAGGCTTGATGTTTTTATTGATTTATTATTACTTGGTTCAGTGGGATAATAGACTAAATGTGATAAAAGATTATCACAGTTTTGCATCAGTTAAGGGGCAGTTTATAGGAAAAAAGTTTACAGGTTTAAAAGTTTAGAGATTTTTTATTTTATTTATTTTACTTTTTTTTACAAAAATACAGGAAATAGGCTAGTAGAACTCTAAAATAGAATACTTCTAAATTGTGTCATCAACACAATTCCATACAAAATGCAGAGTCACATTGGGTTTGAGCCTGTTATACAGTTATAAACACCTGTGGATTATTATGCTATAATCTGCATATTTTGAATTGCAATATAACACACTAGTACTTTAGTACCGTATCCAGGCATGGACAGCCCCTAATGCACAGTACAGTTTGTCCAGTGGGAGCACAAGCAAACCGTGTCCCGGCACAGCACGGTTGGGACTTTGGCCCGGTTGGAGGAGGTGGACCAAAGCACAGCACGGTTACTCATGTATGCTCACATGCACCACTTTACTATAAGCTCCCTGTCAGATGCCCTGATGTTACTCATTAAAAAAAAAAAAAACAGTGAATAAAGTGAATATAGAGGACTGTGGACAGAGACAAAAGTTTTGCAGCCTCATCTCCTTCCGTCCTCACTCCTCTGCACTGTTATTATATCCATAAACTCACAGAGGAGCAGGTATCGCTGCAGGACTCAGATCTACCTCACTATTTAACAGATATAACAGCACTGTATGATGACGTCATCGATTGCTGTAAACATCATCACAACAAAGAGCCCTGAGGTTGTCTCTTCTGATGGATAGTATAATATACATAATACATACATAATGGTATGGAGAGAGGTTTATTAGTTGAGGACATTATATTACTTGTGGCCTTTTGTGACCAACCAATATCGTAATGCTATTCACTCCATTTTTCAATACCCACATTGCCTTGCAGTCTGCACTAGGGTTGTCAGATGTATTGAAAATCAGAGTACTAATCAATACTGAAACAAGTATCAAAACTAGATTCTCATTCAACAAGTATCGAAGAAATCAGATAATTTTTTGGTTGAAAATTATAATAAAATGATCATTTAGGTATCAAAATCTGCACTGAGCACTGCATTGAGCATTGAGTTTTTTCTTTAGTATTGAAATATAGTGTGGAATTTAAGGATCATGACAACACTACTCTTTATTATATAGTTATTTATTTTTAAATGTGAAAAGATGTGGAAAATATGGCAATAGTTAAGTTTGCATAGGCTCCTATACATTGTATCTATATTATTATTATTGTCTTGAGCCTTGTGTGTTAGCTGTCAGCGCGCCTGTGTGTCTGGGACTCTGGGAGCGCTCCTACTGCCATGGCCGCCTCATTATCTTGGGCCGGGCCAAAACAACAAGCATCCTGGCATCACCGTGACGACCGTATACAGCCTGTTTACTGTATGGAGCTTTGACACGGAGGAGACGAGGGAGGGCATTATTAGGAGCAGCCTGACAATATGTGGACATGAGCTTGCATATTCCACTGACATGTAGAGTTGAAATAGAGAACATAATTATTTGTTTTCCCATCTGTGCACCTCTGCAGTATCTAAGCATAAAATAAATTTCAAATGTTTTCATAATTGTATATATGAATTATACATCTTTATATGTATAAACATGTATAGTTCCCTCTCCACATGCAGCACTGCTCATGGAAATAAAGTGCCAGATCCCTTTGTTATTGAGGCCTCTTATAGATTATTTCCTTTTTTCCTTCTTTCATTGCAGCATATCTGGCTACAGTGAAAAGGTAGTCACTCAATCGATTTAAAAACTCGACAACTCCTGGATCTGCTTCCCCTGACCGCACAATAGGCACTACACTGCGTTCTGCTCTTCGACATACAGTCCGTGCTAAGTGCAAAGCCACACTACTCTTTCCTCCACAAGGTAGAATAAAATTTGTCAGTGGTGGAAGTTCTTTAGTAAGTATATCCATCCAGTTTTCTAAGTCTGCTGTTGCACTGGTAAACTGGATCCTTTTTAAGTGACTTTCTCTCGCTGATAACACAGGGGTGGCAATGACAGAGTGTAACACACACTGTATCTTGCCAAGCTGGTCCGTAAATATATGACCCTTTTCAAGACAAAATTCTTGGGCCAAACCTATGGCTGATGACAATTCATCCATATTACCCAAAGCTTCAAAGATCTGGTTATCTTTGGGTATACTTTCTCCTGTAAAGGTGCTGCAGAACCCTTTATCACCAGTTTTCGTGTATATTTTCGGTACTTTTTTGGCCCCCTCACTGGTGTAGCTTCTCTTTGAAAATACCACACTGCAGTTTTGGTGAGCGGGCCACATCATTCTTGCACCGAGGCGAAGAAGACCAGGTCTTATTAAAAAACTCATGTCAATGAAGGTAACAGTTCACTCTGTTAGTATAAACAACTTGACACAAATGAAGTTCTGTAATCTGTCAATGTCCTGTTTCTCACACTTATAAATGCGTGAGCATCATATAAAGCTTTAACCTCACCTCAGATGATGATGTCATAAGGTCACAGCTACGGTGACGGCGGAATGTTCCAAAGTTGCCACGGTAACACAATGTACACAGTAAGAACTACAGCCTTTTGAGATTATAAATGTATATTGACAATATAAATATTATATATATATATATAATATAATATATAATTATATATATTTTTAATTTTAATCTTCATGATTATTTATGTTTTGATTTGTTTTTATTATGATTTTAATGTATTTCTTATTCTGTAAAGCACTTTGAATTACTTTGTGTACGAATTGTGCTATACAAATAAACTTGCCTTGCCTTGCCTTGCCTATATAGGCTGTATAGTATTATAGCCCACAGGCTGTAATACCTGTATAATAACAAATGCCCCACATAAAATGAAGAAACACTTGTATATGCTGTCCACATCCTGTATCTGTGCTCTCTGAACACTACAGTGAACACATCATGGATCTATTAAAATAAGTGGATAGGGTATTGCTAAAGTGTAGCTGTCTTGAGTTGGCGTAATGGTCACTCACTGGTACTTTAGTGAAAAAATCCCTCCGGCCCAGAAAGTAATATCACTATCACTATCAAGTTGATTCTACTCAAATGTGTCCAAAATTGTGAATAAAAGATGTGCACAGGTGACATCTGAAGCTTTATAAACAGAACTTTGACCAAACTCCACATGCAGCACTGCTCATGGAAATAAAGTGCCAGATCCCTTTGTTATTGAGGCCTCTTATAGATTGTTTCCTTTTTTCCTTCTTTCATTGCAGCATATCTGGCTACAGTGAAAAGGTAGTCACTCAATCGATTTAAAAACTCGACAACTCCTGGATCTGCTTCCCCTGACCGCACAATAGGCACTACACTGCGTTCTGCTCTTCGACATACAGTCCGTGCTAAGTGCAAAGCCACACTACTCTTTCCTCCACAAGGTAGAATAAAATTTGTCAGTGGTGGAAGTTCTTTAGTAAGTATATCCATCCAGTTTTCTAAGTCTGCTGTTGCACTGGTAAACTGGATCCTTTTTAAGTGACTTTCTCTCGCTGATAACACAGGGGTGGCAATGACAGAGTGTAACACACACTGTATCTTGCCAAGCTGGTCCGTAAATGTATGACCCTTTTCAAGACAAAATTCTTGGGCCAAACCTATGGCTGATGACAATTCATCCATATTACCCAAAGCTTCAAAGATCTGGTTATCTTTGGGTATACTTTCTCCTGTAAAGGTGCTGCAGAACCCTTTATCACCAGTTTTCGTGTATATTTTCGGTACTTTTTTGGCCCCCTCACTGGTGTAGCTTCTCTTTGAAAATACCACACTGCAGTTTTGGTGAGCGGGCCACATCATTCTTGCACCGAGGCGAAGAAGACCAGGTCTTATTAAAAAACTCATGTCAATGAAGGTAACAGTTCACTCTGTTAGTATAAACAACTTGACACAAATGAAGTTCTGTAATCTGTCAATGTCCTGTTTCTCACACTTATAAATGCGTGAGCATCATATAAAGCTTTAACCTCACCTCAGATGATGATGTCATAAGGTCACAGCTACGGTGACGGCGGAATGTTCCAAAGTTGCCACGGTAACACAATGTACACAGTAAGAACTACAGCCTTTTGAGATTATAAATGTATATTGACAATATAAATATTATATATATATATATAATATAATATATAATTATATATATTTTTTATTTTAATCTTCATGATTATTTATGTTTTGATTTGTTTTTATTATGATTTTAATGTATTTCTTATTCTGTAAAGCACTTTGAATTACTTTGTGTACGAATTGTGCTATACAAATAAACTTGCCTTGCCTTGCCTTGCCTATATAGGCTGTATAGTATTATAGTCCACAGGCTGTAATACCTGTATAATAACAAATGCCACACATAAAATGAAGAAACACTTGTATATGCTGTCCACATCCTGTATCTGTGCTCTCTGAACACTACAGTGAACACATCATGGATCTATTAAAATAAGTGGATAGGGTATTGCTAAAGTGTAGCTGTCTTGAGTTGGCGTAATGGTCACTCACTGGTACTTTAGTGAAAAAATCCCTCCGGCCCAGAAAGTAATATCACTATCACTATCAAGTTGATTCTACTCAAATGTGTCCAAAATTGTGAATAAAAGATGTGCACAGGTGACATCTGAAGCTTTATAAACAGAACTTTGACCAAACTCCACATGCAGCACTGCTCATGGAAATAAAGTGCCAGATCCCTTTGTTATTGAGGCCTCTTATAGATTGTTTCCTTTTTTCCTTCTTTCATTGCAGCATATCTGGCTACAGTGAAAAGGTAGTCACTCAATCGATTTAAAAACTTGACAACTTCTGGATCTGCTTCCCCTGACCGCACAATAGGCACTACACTGCGTTCTGCAAAGCTGCACTGCTCTTTCCTCCAGAAGGTAGAATAAAATTAGTCAGTGGTAGAAGTTCTTCTGTAAATGTATCTATCCAGTTTTCTAAGACTGCAGTTTTATTGGTAAACTGGATCCTTTTTTTATTTTTTTTTCACAAATTGAAAAATACAGTGTTACAGGATTTTTGTTAGATAGTAATATCCTTGTACCCATACCATAAGTATACACATATTCTTACATATAAATAAATACATATACATACACATATATATATATATTCATACATATATACATAAATATACCTATATACCTACATACCCACATTTACAGACATACACTCGGGTACATTCACCTACATTTGACATTTACCTACATACTTTTTTTTTTTTTTATAGAATTAATTAAACCATATTTAACATTGTAGTGTAGAACTAGGGTGTGCTTTAAAACATTATTAGGCCCGAGTGCCAGAAGCTGGCGAAGTATCGCAAAGCGATGCGCCTAGTATACATTACTACACATTACACCAAAGACTTATTTCAAAACAGACTGCTAATTTTCAGACTCTATACAAAGTCAGACCATGTTTATCTATTATAATTAAACCATCCCCTCCATAAATTTTCAATTTTGTCTTTCTCCAGCCTAACTGATGCCGTCTCCATATTGTATATATTAAGCATTACATCCACCCACTCTTCTACCTTAGGTCTGCTCACTGGTCTCTCCAAACGAGCTGTGAGACACTGCAGTACATCCAGAACGCTGCAGCTCGGGTCCTTACTCGAACTAGGAAGTACGAGCACATAAGTCCTGTGCTCAGGTCTCTGCACTGGCTCCTATGGCTCAGAGAATAGACTTTAAAGCAGCTCTGCTTGTGTACAAGTCTCTCCATGGCCGAGCACCAAAGTACATCTGTGACATGTTAGTGTCATATGAACCATCTCGCACTCTGAGGAGCTCAGGGACCGGCCCCCTGCTGGTGCCCAGAGTCAGAACTAAACAAGGGGAGTCAGCGTTTCAGGTTCATGCAGCTAAAACCTGGAACAGTCTTCCTGAACATGTGAGACAGACTCTTCTGTGACGCTGTTTAAATCCAGGCTCAAAACATTTCTGTTTGACTGTGCATATAACTGAAAGGTTTTCATTCCGCACTCTTCTCTCTAATTTATGTCTCTCTTTTTAAATTTTAATCTTTATTAGTATTTATGTTTTGATTTGTTTTTATTATGATTTTAATGTATTTCTTATTCTGTAAAGCACTTACTTTGTGTACAAATTGTGCTATACAAATAAACTTGCCTTGCCTTAGGTATTTGATCCGTCCGCCATTTTTGGGTGATTGCCTTTTTGCTAGCCAACAGCATAATTTTCATTATATTATAATCATTACTTCTAGTTAAGTTCAGTATATCAATTTTACCCAGATAAAAAACTTCAAAATTTAGGGGAACACTACAATTAACTACTTTATCAATAGTAATTTTAACTCCTGTCCAATATGATTTCAATAGTGGGCATCCCCATAAAATGTGAAAGTGATCTGCCCTGGAAGTACCACAAGATCTCCAACATTTCGTATCTGCATATTTCGTCTGTGCAGGGGTCAGAAAGAATCTACTTATATTCTTCCAGTGTACCCTTCTGTAAACACTGGCCACTCGGCACTCCCCACCAGCCGGGCCGCTGCTGTCACCTTGTCACATTGAACATCCACACTTTGACCAACACATGCACGGCCGTATGGGATACTACTGGATATTTGTACACTGTATAGGACAAGTTTACAAGCAAATGTACTGCTGGAGCTGAGTGTTATAGCACACGGTGTAATCTTGATGGTATACAGGGAAAGAGATGGGTCCATTGTGGGAGCACTAGCCACACTGACCCTGTCCACACATGGAGCACCTGGAGCCATTACACCTAGGCTGGTTATATTTGTGAATGGCCTACGACTCAAACAATAGCCTGGGGAACAGCGGTACTGAGCAGGAGACACCGGTATCAGAGAACTAAGCGGCTGGAGCCCTTTTCTCTAGACAGTCAGCACTCAGTCAAAGTTATAAAATCCTGTCTGCCCCATTTGTTGGATAATCTCCATGTTTTGCAGAGAAAACATTCTTCTATGCGTGTGGAAATCCTGGAGCAGAATTAAAGTTTATGAGCCTGATGGAATTAAATGAAAGATAGTGAAAATTCTCTGCACACATAACGCAGAGGACGCACTGGATGACTCTGTGGTGGATATAAATTGATGTTTTCTTCTGTAGTGGCGCTAATCGGGAAGTTTTGTTCTTTTGGCCTTTGTTTTTGCCTGTAAACATTTTCTAGTAGTTAGCATGGGTTGCAAGTTAAGTGCTAATTAAGGTAGTAATTAAGCAGTTATTAAGTCTGAATGACTCTTAATTATGTATTTGTTCATTATTAATTAAGTCTTTGTTCATGCTTTATTAAGGCTAAATAAGGTGTAGTTATTATAAAGTGTTACTGATGTTTTGTTTTTTTTTAAATAGAATTCTACTTTGTCCATAATTAAAGATGTACTTGTACATGTATCAAATGTAGAATTAGAAAGGCCTATTTAGTATGGCTAGGTACGACTAATTTCATTAATTTCACAAAACGATATTAACATAATAATATTTCAGATTTTACTATTTAATATTTAAGAAAATCTGATCTGCATTAGCCTAGATAATTTTGGAAAAGTTAATAATATTTCTTTTTTGACTTGCTTAGTAACCATACTGTAAAGAAGGACCAAAGCTTGTCTGCACTATAGATATAAAAATTTAAGACAATAACTTTTTTTTTTTTTTGGTAATTGAATGTATAAGTTGTCAGAATATTGTGTTCCTTTTGAATAAATTGTCACTGTATTTTAACAACTTGACCCTCCATAGTGTCTACTTTGGGACACTGAAAACACTCTGTTCCACCTTATAATGTCATGTGGTATACACAGTGTTTTTAAACTCCATACACCTTCACTAGAATCATTTGGATAATTTTAGGCCTGGAATTCCCAATCTCTATTGAACAAAAGGTCAAAAGATTAACATTACCTTGAAAACTGCCATGACATCACAAGGTGGAACAGAGCATTTTGAACTTTGTAGATGTAGACAGACTAATAATAAAGTATTACTCTAACATGGGTGAATTAAACAAAACACAGCTATATGTATGTTTTGGATGACATAACACTATTCTAATATGGCTTAAAGTTCACAAGGAATTGTAGGACCTTTTTAAAGTTTTCTTGTTCTTCTTTCACGAGCCTTACCCTGTGTGTGTATGTATGTGTCCACAGAACTCGAGTGCAGATCATCGCGTGAGGCTGGACCTAGGCCTGTGGGATAAGTTCAGTGAGTTGGCCACTAAGTGCATTATCAAGATCGTGGAGTTTGCCAAACGAGTGCCTGGGTTCACCGGACTGACCATTGCCGACCAGATCACACTGCTCAAAGCCGCATGCCTCGACATCCTGGTAACAAGGCACACTATTATTTATAATGATTTATCATTTAGCAGTATTTTCAATTGGATCATTATTTTATAAGTGTAAAAAGTAACCAGTAAGACAGGCTCCCTGACAAACAAAACCCAATATATGAGAAAGAGTTAACTGCCATCCAACAAGACCTAAGTGGTGAATGTAGAGAACGTTCCTGTGGTCAGAAATGGCTTTTGGAGCTCAAATGTTCTCTACATTGGACCACTCCTGGACAAATGAAGGATTACACCTTCACAAGAACTGTTGAAATACAACGAAATACAAGAAGTTTTGTTAATGCTTCTCAATGTTTTCACACGATGGCTTGATAGTAAGAAGGTTCCAGTGTTAATTCCTAGATCTGTGTGGAGTTAACATGTCTGTGTCCTCGTGTTGGAGTGGGTATCCTCGAGACACTTCAGTTTCACCCATCAACCTCAAACATGCACCATAGTTCAAATCCTCCAGTTAAACTTGTCCTGACCAATGTTAACTCAGGATCTGGGTATGGGTCCTCATGTGGTATTGTGGAATCCACTGTTCTTGACAGGCTGGTCCAGAGACAATGAATGGGCCAAATGCAAACACAATTGCTGGTAAAGGAGATCTGGTACAACATATTACAGTGACCCTGCAACGCTCCAATGCCCCTTTAAGTACTAAAAACTCACAATTTTTCTATGTTGTTAAGTTGGAAACATTTCTATTTTCATAGCATGTTAATAAGTAAAGTTTCGCTTTAGAAGTTTGTGTTTTCTTATGGGAATGTTGTTTTATAACATCTAAAAGTAGACTTGTGCAGTTTGCAAATGAACACCCCAGATGCCCTTGTTATTACGGCTAAAATTTAGGATAAAGTAAATTATTGAGTTCTAATCTCCATCCTTTTCCGCTACGGAGGCACCATTAATTTTGCACTTTTCTTTCTGTTAGGCTAAATTCTCAGCTTTGGGGATCTTGAGTAATCCTTCTGCCTCGAAAAAGTACAGTGGCCTAGTTTTTGTACATTAGTCATCAGGCGGAAATTGTGTTTACCCCATAATGCAAGCCTTAAAAAGTCCTAAAAAAGTCTTCAAGATAAATGGTGGTTTATATAAAGTACTTCACTAACTATAATGGAAGTAGCCTTCGTGAGGTACACGCTTGGTGCTTTCAAGGCTCTCAAGATTGTCTTTAAAAGATGGACTGCTCCGTGCAGAAATCTTTGTAGAAAATATAACTGGAGTTTGAAGTAGGTTAAAAACATTTGTTATCTTGATTTATAAGTCAAGATGTCACAATATCAGATTATAGTATTGAGATTATTGTGAGATTATAATAATTTTTCATTCACAATAGATCACCATTCCCCTAGTATGAGACCAACTTTATGAAACATAAACACACTTTATATTTTGGTGCAGTTTTTGGAGTGTAATCAATAATTAAAATTTAGTGTGACCTAAATTTTAATTATTGATTATCAATTAGCCAATTAATCTTAACATCCCAAGTTATGCACAAGATGCTCAGCAGTGAAAATAACTTATCTTCTTAAAAGAAGATGAGCATCTATGGACTTTGAAAACACAGAGGAGCACAGCATGACTCTAAGCAGTGGGGTCAAACATAATATCTAGTATGTGTGAATAAACTAACAGCCTGTTTTGGGAACTTTAATGGGCATATGAAAAGACAGCACACGCATTACAGTTTGAATTTGCAGTGCTACATCTAGATCATCATTTATGCATGGACAGTAGAGCATGCATATTAATATGAGGTGTGTTCAAAGCAGTACAGCCCCCACACTGATTTAACATGGAGTCCATTCTAGCAACATTTCCTATTGCGATTATGTACTGACATCATTTTCAAAATGTTCTCCTCAACATTCAGACTGAGTGACATTGAGAGGCAGAACTATGGGCAGCATAATATCATAAAATGTGTTTCTTTGCTTTTTAATCACTTCTTATTTGTTCATGGATCTATTGTTTTTGCTCCACAATAATACTTTTTTCAACACACAGACAGATTTGGTAGTGATGTCTAGGGCTGCAAGACTAATCGCAGTCAAATTGAAATTTGTAGGGATTGATTGATGAGAACTGTACAAAAACAGCCTGATGAGACCATCCCAGAACAGCAGAAAAGACATATAGTGGGTGGAGTTAAAAATTCAAACTAATGCCGCTGTCACACTTGACGATTTAGCTAGTGTATGCTGACATACCAGAATTTCCCTAAAATGCTGGCATATGCTGAACCATCTATGTTTTTTTTTTTTCAATTTTGGGCATATACATAGCGTATTCATAACAAGTTGGACGTTTACATAATGTATTAGTAACTTATATAGAACATTTTGATAACTTATACCAACTAATGCTGAGCGTGTTGCCAGCATCCACAATTTACGCCTAACAACAGTCTAACCTATGCTTAGCGCACGGCAGCGTATCGCCAACGATCACATGTTGTTGCTTATTAAAAGGCTGCCGCTCGACAATTTAAATCATATCATATGATATATCATATCAATCTCTCTCTGTACATGGTGCTGAATGCAACAGATTGATTGAAAGGTAATTACATATAGAGCAGTGGGATCTGTCTGCAGACCCCAGGCTGTAAAGTTGTGAGCACAATCGTGTCAGCTGTTTCCTGTCCGTAAAACCACTCGCCACTGCGCTTCTAGAGCTCAGAGCTCTGCACTTCTAGTTTAGATAGAAGACAAAACTGAGTTATTATTGTTTGTGAAATGTGGTGCAATACTTCAGATACATGTTTTTTAAAGCATAAAAGATTGGAGATAAAGTCCACAGGAAGTAGAGTCACTATCGATAAACTGCAGCTTCACACACGCGCTGGATGTAAACAAACACACGTCCAACTCTCGCCTTTTTACTTTCAAAGAACGACTCAAATGGATTAATAGCGCGGTTTTGTCGACTGGGTGTCATTATTTGCAGAGGACAAATTCTATGGATAATACAGGGTGAGTAATAAAATCTTCATATTGAGCTGTTGCAATGAATTGATCGGTTAGGCCAGGGGTGGGCAAACTGAGGCCCGGGGGCCATATGCGGCCCTTTAATCTTTTTAATCCGGCCCTCCGAACTTGAATAATAATTTAATTTTCAGTGTTTTAAAAGTCATTTCAATAAATAGCAAATACTGTGGGACTTGAAAGACATATTTTGTTGTAATGCTTTGTAATGATTTTCAATTATGGGATATTTCAATAACATGGGATATTTTTTTCTCTTATGAGCTGGATTACCAAAAAAAAACTCCATCCATCTGCTCCTGGTCCGGCCCTTCCATCAAATTTTAGAATCCTTTGTGGCCCACGAGTCAAAAAGTTTGCCCACCCCTGGGTTAGGCTGTATGATGTTCTCCGCAGATCGCCTACATGACGCTCGTTTCCCACGGCTCTCAGTGAGGACATTTTCCCACTGTGTGATATCTTCTGTGGCCGAAGTATTCTCTGATCAAGTGTTTTGCATTGGCTCATAAGATAATTGGGAACACAAAGTCTGGAGAAGTACTGACGGTTTCCTCCCCATTTTTATACCAATTCTCCTAAAAGCTGCCAATACACCATTATACGGTAGCTACAGGTTAGAAACACGGTCAGTAAGTTCTGCGGTCGTCTGGAACATGTCAAATCCGTCTGCATACGTCAATATGCGTTGGAGATAAGTTCAATATAAGTTACATATAGGTTCAGAGAACGTTACTCATAAGTCATGGGTACACTAGACGTTTTCTCAACGTATTTGGGCTTATGAGAAACTTACAATTAACGTTTGTCAGCAATCGCATAATTTACCTATAACTTATGGCCTGCGTATGCAGGACGTATAAACATACACTGACATACGTCGAGAGATTTTCAGCATGCTTAAAATTTTTCGACGACCTTACCGTATGTCGCCGTATGCCAGCGTGCTTCAGCGTGCTCAGAACTTATACAATACTTATCTATAACTTATTCAACATATGCCAGCGTATTTGTCAAATTTTTCATACGTCGGCATACGCTGACTAAATCGTCAAGGTGTGACACCGGCATTAGATATGTTCCTGACTCATGGCTCAGGTACAGGCCCTTTAAAGCGGACCTATTCTGCAGAATATTTCAAGGTTTTTAATCATGTATAGTTTCCCTTTTTGCTGTCTCAAATTTGTATTTAGCGTGATTCATGCATGATTGATTTTGTGTAATCTTTATACAGTACGTCTCTATTCAAGATGTCATTGCTCTGATGCCCCTCTTTTCACCAGTACACGCCCACTGCTCTGTACCTTCCTCTCCATTTTTATTTTCTGAGATTACGTTTATATGATGATGGTCTGAACAGAAGATGCAAAAGTGGCATTGCACCTTCACTTTTTATTCCGCGTATAGACGAGTGTTTTCGTGAGGAAATCTACATGCATACAGTGATGCAAGTATGTGGAATTCGATTGGGGATGCATGTCAGGCGGCTATGATGCTGTGATCAGATCTGACCAGAGTTTTGCGTCTTGGGCAGTGTAGACGGAAATGCTTCGGCGGAGCATATTCAACTTTTCCACTCTGGAGGGTGGTTTCAGATTTTTGCGTTTTTAAGCCCCAAAAATGCTGTCACTGTCTAAATGAAAGGCACTTACAATAAAGTATTTTGTCGTTTTTACCCGCAAGCATTCTCGTGTGAACAGGCTGTTAGCCAGTGATATGCACAGGATATGTCATTTTGGTACAAATGAAAAAAAAACCCAGGCATATACTTGTGATGAGGGAACAACATTATAACATAGATCAGAATATACGTATAATATATATTATATATATTATATATTTAAGGAGAGAAAGGTCCATTTCAACTATGTCTGATCCCAAAGTCTGTGCCAGTGATAGATTTGAATGTACCTGCAAGTGTCCCTGAACTGTTTTTTTGTTTTTTGTTTTTTTTTACTGTTGACTTGATTTTCTTGTTTTAAATGCCAGGTACATTATAAATATTTAGGAGGCCTGTAGACTTTTATATTTGTTGTTAAACTTTAGCAGCTCTTTCACTTTCACAACATGTTTTGAGCTTTCACAGGTGAGAATTCCATCACGCACTCATAGCCTGCCTTTGCTACTCACTAATAATGCTGCAAAGATTGAAAACATGTCATACGAACCTCAAAAGAATATTTTTTTTTTGATTGACTAAAACTATAATACAATTTGTCGACTGAATTAGCATGACATTTTCATCGACTAAAGCTCGACAAAAGAATCAATTGAGTTAAAAGACAAAAACTAAGCAAAATGGTGTGAATGTTAGCGGTGTGTGTGCTGTGTGTGTTGTGATGGTGTTTGGTGGGGGGGTGTGTGCGCGTGTGTGGGGAGGGGGTGTTTAGGGGTGTCCAGCCGCTGCACCCTGCCCATGTTTTATTCTGTTTCATGTAGCAGATAGGCTGCCACTCACTGTCAGAGCCGCTCCCCCTGCTTCACTTCAAAGACCTGCGTTCATTAGCCGTTATCTTACCGCCAGCGCTAAAGGTGATTCACTCAGGTCATTGTTTGGAGCATGTATTCAAAATGTACTTTTGAAGGGTGGATGTGCCATGAAACAAAGTGAAGTAGTGGTAGTAATAGCACTATACACCTTGAGAAGTATGCATGGTCTTTAAGGTATCAGCGTGTCTAAAATACACACACTCAGAAAAATCCATGTCTCATTACATTTTAATTGGGCCTCCTGTCATAGGTTGCCCTGGGAAACAATGTGAGTACATCATTATGAAAGCAACACATTTCTTTCATTCATTTCTTCAGTTAGACTTTAAGTTAGAGAGTTTGGGTATGTGTGAGTGACTGTCGGAGGAGCAGATGGCGCAGATTGGCAGTCTCACATCCACCAGTCAACCCAACAAGTTACCATCACTGACGGTCCAAACATGTCTGGAAATCCACAGAAATCCACCAACATCAGCAGTTTGTGCATGAAGATGCTAGTTCTTTGAATGTGACCTCTCCTTCAGTGCCACAGTGACAGCCTGTCAGGATACGTGCTCACAATACTGCGCCTTCTCCAGATCATGTGCCAGGTTCCTCCTCAGTACCTTCCAGAAGGATTTTGCCTACTTTGCATGTTTTAATGTTTTCCACGTCTCCTTGTGTTTATCTCTTCTTTGTCATTCCCAGATCCTGCGCATCTGCACGCGCTACACCCCGGACCAGGACACTATGACCTTCTCAGACGGGCTGACCCTGAACCGCACACAGATGCACAACGCCGGCTTCGGACCGCTCACAGACCTGGTCTTCACCTTCGCCAACCAGCTGCTGCCCATCGAAATGGACGACACAGAGACGGGCCTGCTCAGCGCCATCTGCCTCATCTCTGGAGGTCTGTCCTGGAGGGGGGCTGGGGTACACTTTGTCTTCAGAGGTGTGTGGTGCGATTCTAGAGGTAGAGCGGTAGACCTAAAAAGTAGCTTACTAATAGGTTGGTTTTAAAGAAGACCTATTTTTCTGTCATTATGTTATAATTTGTACATTTTAAATCACAGTATTCATCTAAAACGACTTAATAAAAATAAAACAAGACCACTAAGTTCCATAATAGAAAACTACTAAGCCCAATGTGATGTCATCACAACCACAGCCATGTAGCTGTTGACACCTCTGATGGATAGCTACACATTATACTAGTGAGCCGCAGATTTAATTTTTTACGCATATCACTGATAAAGAAAATAAAATTGATGAACAAAGTAAGTACAGAGCAGCAGGCCTAAGCCAATTAATTGGCAAAATTATGTTTTGAAAATAAACTATTTAAGATTGTTTAAAGCTTGATTATTTTACTAGCCAGAAATGCTCAAAAAACTTATCTTTATCTAAAGGAAAGTGATCAAGCCCATACTACAAGAACTTCTCTGTATTGTAAGAAAGTAGCCAGGCCTCAGCTTCAGCTCTTTAAATGCAGCAAAAGGAAATGTAAAGGTAGCAGAAAGTGTGGCCTCCAGGCCAAACACAGGGTGAGCAGGTGAAGCCAATCGGGCTGACAGCAGCAGAGGAGGAGAGGCATCCACTGTTATGGTTAGGGGCGGGACTATGGGCTCTCAGTGCACAGGCTGCCTGGCTAACGCACATTCACCGGGCCAAGAGTGACAGCTTGAAAATTACACCGAGCAAACGGGGACAGAATGCTAGCCCGGCTAACCACACAGCATTGTCATTTGGTTCTATGGTGTAAAGTCCATCTGGAACATTTGTAGATTTGAGGTTGTGATTTCCAAAAATTTAAATAGCTGTGCACATTTTCTATAGTAAAATTAGTTCTGCCTCCATACAGCAGCCTATATTGTAAAAGGATCTTACATAAAACGTTAGCATGACCTGTGATGCTCAAACTCTTTGGCCTGTGTCCTAACTAATCCTAGCAGAGAATTTGCATGTTTGCGAGGATTGCATTAAAGTGACAAATTAGTTTGGACTGTGGCTAACAGTTTAAACATTCAAACATTCTCTGCCTGTCATGGTTGAAAACGCTCTAAACTGGGCATGTATGTGTGCGTGCTAATAGTGGTCAGAAAAGATCCTTGCTTCCATCCACCCCAGGGCTGTGATGACAATAACAGTTTACCACAACTAAGAATGGACTGAAAGGTCTAAAATCAAAACCATTAATATTATGCATCTCATGGACCAGAACATTTGAGAATGATTGTATACTGGGGTAATTTTTGTGGCAACCAATCATGAATTCATAAAACTATTTTGTAAGTATTATTTTTTATGCAGGGCCTGTACCTGATAGTTTTTTCATATGAAGTAAAATTTGCCCCAGTACATATTGTATACTAGCATATTGCAAAACTGATCTTAGGGTCAAAGTAAGAGCGTTGTTTTTACTTAATTATTTTTTCTAAATCTTGTGCAGCTATTTGTTTTGCCTCAGTACTTATTTATTGTAAAACTTGTCTTAGGGTCAAAATGAGAGCCCTTTGTGCTGTCTGCATCTTAATTATAAATCAACTCTGAAATCTTTTCAGAATGCATTAGGAAAGTGGGGAATAACTTTGTACCACTATAAACAATTTAAAATTAAGTTCAGATTTTTAAGAATAGCAGATATTTAGTTTCTCACTCCTTTAGCCCTCTGTCAATGCGTGGATGAATACCTGTGAGCCGTAGTTCTCTCCCCCTCTGCTCCTCAGCCCCTCACATCGATCCCTGAGTTAAATATTGAGTGGCTGTAGTCCGGTCTGGAGCCAAAGCAGCTCTGTGCCGACTGGAGTCTAGCACAGGTCAACAGCAGGTCTCCACTCACCTGTACAGTAGAGGAGAGTACATAGTGATAGACAGTGTTCTAGAGGAGACAATCCCTCTGCGGTGGCCATGTTTGGATTGTAGGTTATGCTTTTTTTTTTTTTTAGCTACCATGTTATAATGTTGTTTCTTCATCAAAAACATTCCTGAAGAGGTTTTAGATGTCATCCATTCATGTTTGAGTATTTTAGCGATCTCTACCAGCACCTATCGAATCCTCTTTGCGTTAGGATTCTGTCCAACAATCATCCCGCAATTCTCCATGAGTATACAAAAACATGATACAAAGCTATGCACAATGAATTAACAAACCTGATGAGATGTGCGGTAGTTTCATTAGCAGGATGCACACACAAGAACAGAGGGGGTCTCATAGTATCAAAAACAAAAGTGAAACTTATAAAGCATGTTAATACATTTTTTTCAGTGAATATGACATTTTCAAAACAATAAAAGCTAACATGGTGATCTAAATATGTTATTTTAGCAGTTAATACCCCATAGAAGTAAAATAATACTCCATAGAAGTAACTTATACTCTTGTTTTAGTTACTGACACCTCAGTACTCCAATCACTTTTTACTTCTCTCATTAAAGTGCACTAACTTTTTCTAGGGGAGAGTCTGTATCTGATTGTCTCCATGGAGATGTTATCGTTTCGCCTAAAATGTTCCACAGTGATCTTGCATTCATTCAAGTACACATTTTATTTGTTAGGTTTATGTCATACTGTGGGACAGTCCTGACAAAGCAATAACATCTCGATGGAGACAAGAAGATGATGGACCTTTCATCAAAAAAGTTATATACTGCACTTTTTTACAATACCCCCAGTTGGTATTGCAGTAGAAAATGTGTTTCAATTCAAATGTACTTTTCAGACTTGAGGACTTCATTCTTTTCACTGCTGGTGTCTTTTTTCAGTACAGACCAAATATTACTCACTGTTGCATAATCCCCAAGGCCTGTCAGACTCTCACAGACAAGAAGAGGGCTGATCCCAGATAGAGCACTGCCCCCTGGTGGACCAAACTACTACAGCACTGAGGGGGTTTCAGGAAGATGACAGGAAGATTTTATTAGATCTCTGGATAGTTAACAAATTTAACAGTGTTTTCAGAGCATCACATTGCAAACTAATGTCATATAAAGTAGCTAATGTGGTTTAAAAGGAAATTGAACTAGGAAATATAACAAGTGGTAATGAAGATACCCTCCCACTCATACTTGAACAATACTATGTTGAATTAATTTAATAAAATACTTTTGATTTTTTTTTTTTTTTTGTTGAGAACATGATCATAATATCAGTTTGTTGTAGTTGTTTTAGTTTCAGTAATTACCTGGCTTTAGTACATTGTACCTTTAACAGAACTGTATGTAACTTGTGCTCTGACATTTTTTAAACAAGTCACAAATCACATGTTGAAACTGAACCTGGGTTGCCAGTGCCTTAGCGTGCAGATAGAGGACACATACAGGTTTTTCTCAGTCTCAGTATATGAACAGGTGAGACATCACGTGAAAGCTCAGAACCTCCGGAATTCCGTCACTGAGCTGCAGAGGCTGTACTAGCACTGATTCATGATTTGCTGCATGTGCTGATGTTTAGGTAGTGATGATTTAGATCAGAGGCTTAAACCAACTGGATTTCAGTCTTGCAACTGGAACTGAAATGATTTGGGATTTTTACTTTCGAAGGGGTATTACTCCAGACCACTTAAACACTGATCTTGTACTTTGCTTTTTAAAGACTGTGCATGATGTGCCCTTGATATTGAATAGTCAAATTCAAAGCAAAAATAAAGTATAGTGTAACCTGCTCTGTACTTTCACTTGTATCTTACCTGCACACGTTTTTATGTGTATGCATTTCAGACCGCCAGGACCTAGAGGAGCCCTCGAAGGTGGACGAGCTGCAGGAGCCATTACTGGAGGCTCTGAAGATCTACGTGAGGAAGCGCAGACCCAGTAAACCTCATATGTTCCCCAAGACGCTCATGAAGATCACAGATCTGCGCAGCATCAGTGCTAAAGGTACGCACACAAACTAGCTCAGCAGGAGAGCAAGAGCCACTGACAAATGAAGTTACTTTAGTACATTAGTACTGAATTTAGGAGTTGGCAATATATAGAAAAAATTGGATAATATCATTGTCCTGAAACATGCTAATTTCAAAGTATATGGTATACAAATGAAACAAGTAAAAATTACAGCAAAAAGAATATTGCGTTTGAGATAATGCTAAAAAAATACCTAGATATTCATTTTTGAGGTGGTTTATATTTTTGACAAATAACATTATAACTGTAAATGTATTACCTTCAGAATACCATGGTGGAGAAAATGCCTGAGATACACTAAAACAGAGGTATTGAAACTTTTCACACCAAGTCCAACCTAAGAAAATATTTGGTCTTCCATGTGATCTAACCCAGGCCAAAAAGGTCTATTATACATTCGACAAATTCAACAAATACTTGAATGTACACCACCTGAAGGAGCTTGCGTGCCAACAGTGGACCACATTTGAGACCGTTTGAGAAGCTCTGCACTAAAGCATATAACAGAAAGCCTGCTGCTTCTGGCATGAACTCCAGTTGAACTTAGTGTACTCTGAGTTTACTGTAGACGCTAACCTGTGACTTTTCAATGACCTGCGTGTGGGAAACTCCCTCTCTGTTACAGCCTGTACTGTGATATTTTTTGGTTGTTTACATTCCACTGGCTTATTCTGTATATGTACAGTATTTTTTATTTATTTTTTTTTTTTTTAATTGAACCTTACAGGAAAAAAAAATCCTACTGAGATTAAAACCACTTTTTCGAGCATTTCAAACATACAATATACATACAAACAACAACAAAATTACATGTTTTACAGATCATTATCGAGGCCGTCTCCTATTTTCAGTTTAGATATAAAGGCATTTAAAGATAAAGCTCAGTTAGTGTCACATCTTGACCTGTTCCAAGCAGAAGGGGCTGAGTGAACAAAGGTTTTCTTACCAATCTCTGTGCAGGTTTATATAAGGAACAGAAAGCAACAGCTGATCATATGGAGTAAAAGTCAACATTTCTCTGTGTCATTAAAGTACAAATGCAGGGAGGCAACAGTCCGACAATAGCCTGGTAAATAAAAGTATACCAATGCAAGTCACAGTTATGCATATAACATACACTACCAGTCCAGATCATCTCATTCATGTTTACTTCTTTCTACATGTTATATACACACAGAACACATCAAATATATCAGGCTGGAAGTATCAAATTATGAACAATAGAAAATAAAGTTAAATAACTCTACTAAATAGTTTTTATATTTTTATTTTTATATTAAATTCCTCAAAGTTTATGCACAAATGCTAAAAGTTACACTATGAAATTTTCTTCTGGTGAAGGCCAAGCTACAAGTCAACTCTAAGGAGAAGAGACCCCACTCACAGTAGGAATGCAGGTTTTACAGATAAAAACACCTTTAATTGAATAAATGCAAGATACTGGGAGGAGGCCACAGGGAGACCCAGGGCACGGTGGAGGGACTATATCTCTTGACTGGCCTGGGAATGCCTCGGGATCCCCTCGCAAAAGCTGGAGGAAGTGTGTGTAGAAAGGGAAGTTTGGGCCTCCCTGCTCAGATAGAGCAGAAGAAAATGGATGGATAGATGAATGAAATGCCATACTGTGGAACATTGTTGGTAAAGCAATAACTACATGGAGACAAGACCCTTTACTTGAACTTCAAAACTACAAGTGTAATATATTTTAGTAAGGCACACATCACTAAACCTATAGATTTAAAGAAGAGTAAAAAGTTCAAAAAGTTCGAAGGTTTGCATGGTCCTCCCTGGTTTTAACTACTCAACTTCATCCCTGTGCACTTAGGTGACCTTTTGTCGTGTCGTTTGCCGTAAATAGACAAATTCATGCAGTCTACTCTCCCATATAAGGTCTATTTAGTCCCTGTTTTTTATCTTGCAGGTGCGGAGCGTGTCATCTCTCTGAAGATGGAGATCCCCGGCTCGATGCCCCCTCTGATCCAGGAGATGTTGGAGAACTCCGAGGGCCAGGACGGGGCCAGCAGCAGCAGCAGCACTTCAGTGGAGGGGGCAGAGGCCAACAGTCCCAGCAGCAGTAAGAGCAGTCCCACTCAGAGCACGGAAGATCGCACTACTCCGGATGAGCCCCCACAATCTCCCCCAGACCCCGCCCCTGCCACGCCTCCTCCGCCCTGTGACCCCACCCCCTCTGACCTGTGACCCCACCCCTCAATCCTGGCTCAATATGAACTATAAGCCGTCAAAAAAAAAAAAAAAAAAAAAAAAAACTGCAGAAAAAATACACAAGTTAAAATATGGCTTTAATTTGGAATATATTTCTTGTTTTCCAAAAAATCTTTTGTTAGTTTAAGTTAAGTCCTCTGATAAAAAATAAGGAAATTAATTTAGAGATTGGAACTATCAACATTTATGGGCACTTATAATCTTGAAATAAATATGTTATAGTTTCAATGCAATCAGCAAACATATCTTTAGCAAAAAGTATCAACCTACTATTGAAAATATATTTAAAACAAGAAACATATTCACAATTGAAGCCATTTTCACTGTTATTTTGGTGCAGTTCCCACCCCTTTCCTAACCTTTACAATACCTTCTCTCCCTCTTGAAAAGTAAACACGGAGGCCTCAAAGGATTTGTGTATAATTTGGACTGAAGCTCTTATTTTGGCGGGGCGTCTCGGGACAGGAAATGAGACGGTTCTCCTCAGGTGTCCCCCTGTAAATGTTCCCTGCATGATGGGACTCGGATCTAGTGCTTTTGACGCATCATCTCGTATTGTTCCATTGTACATACCATTGGACATGGCTTACATACATGGTTTCTATGATGGATTTGTGGTGCTTTCTCATTGTCTTAAATATAATCCTGCAGGCGTGATGTCGGAGCTTCAAAGCAGGACTAATTGTAAGTTTGTCATAAAGTTATCTAGAATGTTACTGCATATAGACATTATGGAAGTCTAATATTTTATATTTGTTTGCATATTTAAGCTGTTTCTCTTTTATAACATATCATGAATGAGTGGACATTCACAATGCTTCTCTGGGGGCTAAAGTGTAGCAAAACTGTAGTTAACTACAGTAGTTAACTAAAGTTGTGTATGGATTTATGTGTGTGTCAAGGTAAATTTGAGATAATGGCAAACTTATTTTTATTAGCTATTATTTATGTGTAATTTGCATGTTTGTTTATAATAACAGATTTTTGCCAAGTGTTGGACAAGTTGTTTACATGTCAATAGTATATTAGCTGCAAAAAAGTTAAACCTACATTGCTGATGCATATAGGATAAAACACAGTTAAATTAAAATATACACATTTTTCACATATGGAATATTCAGTAGGCTATAAATAGTTATATTGTAAACATTAGGGCTTTATGAGACCTAAAGGCTAGCTCATAGCTAATAGCTAATGCGCTCTATTCACACTTACGTCACAAACCAGGAAGATTGGAATTGGATTTGGAAAGATGCGATTGCAACTTCCGTTGTACTGACATTGGACTTGCTGACCCATTGTGATAAAACCCAATGAAGTAAATGTCATCAGCAGTAAAATGAAGATGCATACGTATGTGCTGTTTGGAATCATCTTGAATTTCGCGTCCTCATCTCTTCTACCTGCATGTACCCAGTGTGCTTGGAGTTGTGGGTCAGTGGGGAAATTATGAAAACTGAGGTTTGAATGTAATTGTTGATTAGCTGAACGTAACAGAACGCTACAATGACATGTAGATGAAGAAAACTGGGCCATTTTCAAATTTTTCCTAGAAAAGAGCCTGCCAGAAGTCTGGTTTGTGACATAAGTGTGAATAGAGCCTACTGGTAGCACCAGTGCATATATTGGTCATCAAAGGTGCAACATTGGTCAGTCCAACATATTATTTTTTTATTTGCATTATATCACATTCATAAAGACATAAGATGCAAATAAGTGGTTTGTAAGTAAGTTTAACATTTTTCCTTTTTCAAACTATAACTTAGCTTACTAAAAATAGACAGTAGGCTATTCATATTCTAACTAACTGGTTGATGTTGCTTACTGACATGTGACCAGCTTGTCCATCTGTCCAAACCACACACTAATCTTGAACACCAACTGCTACCATTTTTGCCACAGTTTTAGCCCCATATTTCTGTCTATCACACTGGCAGCTTGCGCAACAGTTTTCTCAGAGAAGCCCAGCAGAAGCCTTCGACACACTCCCATCAGACCGACCCACGATGTCACTTTACCCCTCTGACCCGCCGGGACCCATCTGACCCAGTCCCAATCGAGTTAGCGTCGATGTGGGGCTAATGATGCTAATTACGCGCACATGCTAATAGCTGGGATTGCAATGGACCTCCAACTCTTAACCCTCCCTGACCACTTTGCACTTTATTATCCTCTCCTGGTCAGTGGACAAGTCTGAGAAGTCAATGTCAGGTTGTGATTGGTCAATACTAAGCGAAGATTGCATTATTGAGTAAAGGCACAAATGTACATACCAAGGGATTAGTGTACGGTGTTATATTGTTAACGGATTTTATTAGACTAACTGGCAATGTCTCAAAATCCCCTGAAGTTAGTTCAGCCATAGTTCAAATTGCAAATCTCAATTGGCAGTCCCTTGTCAGTGTTTTAAGAAAACTGTGAAAAAGTTTTGTCTACCCCGTCCCACCAAGTACTAACATCTCTGCTGTACTTTCATTTAGCAATATTAAGTATGAGATTCAGCTATGCGTAGATATTTGGAAATGTGGTAACTCTGAGCAAACTCCCATTACTTGCTAAAACATCAATGATACTGGCCTATCTTTGTAAGCAATAAACACGCAATCAGACAATCAGCCAGTATAACTCTATCTGACAATATTTCAAAAATTTTGGCTTTAGTTTCCAGACACTCCATCACGCTTCATCCTCATTGCAATCCCAGCTTTCTGTCTATCTTAATAAATCTCTTAATAAAGGGCCTACATAATGCATTTTTGGGACTTTTCAACAAGTTTGTACATTTTAGCCTGGTATGTATTGTTGTGTAAGTTAAAATATAATCGTGACATTTTGTTATATGAAAAAAACTCAGCAGATGGCGCTAGTCTTGCATCTGCTGTAGAGGTGAATAAGCAAGCAATTTGTAACAGGTTAATAACACTTAATGGTATTGGTACATTATTATGCTAGTCCTTTTTCTGTAAGATTTTAGAACATATCAGAATAACATTGTTTATATGTTTATCTGTACATATATTTTGATCAGTTCAAGATGAGGTTGAGCAAAGACAAAGATGCCAGTGTAAAGTTCTTTAAAGGTTTGAATGCATTTTAATAGCCTACAAAACTCATCGGTATAGACCTTTTTCACGCGGCTGAAAGTCCCGCCCGGTAAGGTTGCGGTTAATGCTTTTCTATGGCAAAATGTCTGTGGAAATGTCTCGCGTATTCTCCAACCAGCTTCATAAATCTCCCCCATCATCAAATCTTCAACCAATTCTTCATGTCAACAATGAAGAATTTATCCACAACTATCAAGGTAAGAAAGACGAAAGCTTAAAGGCTAACAACGACTAGCACTTTCGTCTTTCTTACCTTGATAGTTGTGGATAAATTCTTCATGGAAAAATGTTCATCCTTTGTGGACCTTGTTGGTTGAAGATGTGGTGCAAGACATTTCCACATAGAAAACCATTAACCGGAAGTTCCTCAACCTTAGCGGGCAGGACTTCCGGCCATTGTGGAAAAAGTCTACTGACAACGGCTCAGTATCACAATACTTGCCATAATATCACTTGGTATGAGATTGAAACAAAAATCTCTGGTATCGTCCGTCACTACTTTGAAGAAGGAGATGGACAAAATAAACCACTTTATTACGTAAATGGAATTCAACTCCCTTTACTATGTTAATGAGGATACAATATTGAAAACTTGTTAAAAGCCCCAAAAAGTCAGCTTTGCATCATATAGCCTACGCCCTTTCTAGTCGGTCTGATGCGTGTGTCCAGTGTTCACGGCTAACGGCTAACAGCATCTACACCTCTTTAGCATTTGGCCTCTGTTACTGCCTTAAGTCAGGCCTCTCCAGCGATGTACCTTTCCTTTACAGAAGTGTCTTTTTTTAAACTGGTTACTACTACACACGGGCAATGCAATCTCAATACTGCAGATTACCGAACAGCATGGGTCCAGACGATTGTACACTTATGTCACAAGCACACAATGGAGAGTTGAATGTTTGTCTTGCTATCTAGCTTGATGATGATAATGTAAGCAAATAATGCAAAAGGAGATTTTCAATGTTGGATCCGACGTAGCCTACTTGTTGGAGGCTGTGTGGTCGTTGCCTTTGGATAATAGGGCCCATTGCCAGTTGTAATATGTAAAGTGCAACTACACATTGCCAGCATGCTACAAAGTTTTCAGTCCAAATGATGAGATATTTGATTTGATAGCTGAACAATATTCCCAGATTTACTCCAGTGCGGATTTATAGCTATCCATTGTAAATCATTTAAAACCTAAATCATTACACTCCAGCCTCTTTTCGGTAGCTGCCTTTCTCCAGCTGAGTTGCGATTTCATGCTCTGGGCACAGCTCCGGGTCCAGGGGCAGGTCTCTGCTCTGTGAGACACTGACGTTGCCCAAACATAACTATTGGCCTGTACTGGTCCACTCCAAAGCGAACCAGTGCAAACGAGGCTTGATTTCAGACTTTTGGATTAGCCCAGACAGCCTCAATGTTTTCGCAAATTAACCAGTATTCGGAAAATAATTTGTAATACTGGTTAATAGTGTGAAAAATATTGCAGTGAAAGTTAGGGTGACCAGAATTTCAAAATCAAAATCTGGGACAGCCCCTGGTTTGGGTTAGTTGGCAATAATAAAACTGTGAAACGAGGGCACAATTAAGGAAAATTGTTGCACTTGGCTCATTCATGACTAACATGAGTCAGTATAGTCACATTTTTAAGCAGCTTTTCTGTGTTTTACTGAAACAAATGACAGTTTATGCCTCTCTTTACTTTTGGCAGGTGTCAAATTGGTCAAAAATAGAGACACCAGGGACATTTCTTGTATAAAACTGGGACAAATCACTGCTTTCGGATAAATCTGCTGGGAAAGGGGACACAGGGCTCAAAACTCGGATTGAATCAGACGGTAAATAGGGACTTCTGGTCACTCTAGTGGAAGTGGCACTTGTAGCATTCCTGTGGATATCAACAGCGGCCAAAAAATCTCAAGCACTTAATTGTTGTTATTAACACTATTAGTCAAATGACACAAAATCAAAACTAGCACAATGTTGTAAAGCTGTCATGATGATTTCATCTTACCTGCTGACTGCTACAAGACTGCTACAAACAAAGAGCTCCATAAGATCATTTATTTTTGCAGTATTTTAAAAAATGTTTGTTTGCTGGCAATGTGCGATTGCTTCCCTTTTGGGTCTTGCTAGTCTTGTGGTATTTGCAAATAGCATATGGGTCCTCAAATAGATCAATACGGTAGCGCATTGAATAGGAAAATTGGTTTAGGTACTTGACAATGCAATACTTCACATCGGAACAACTCTAACTAAAGTTTACCAATGTTTCCGCTTCTCAGTATGGTAAATATAGC